AAGGAAAGGAGAGAAAGAAAAGGAAGAGAGAGTCAAAGAGAGAAAAGGAAATGACAGGGAAGAGGCAATCCCACCTGCATAGCCCTTTGCCTGCTGAAACCTGTTGGGCTTGTGTGCTTTCATTTCTGAGGGCACCTCTGCACAGGGATGAGTACTGTACCCCGTGCCACCCCCATTATTCCGCAGAGAGCACACCCCTCTTAACCTCCAACTCCATCCTCTAGCCTTTCTGGCTGCACTGTCTTGCCTGCCCATCCTCTCCTTCCTCGGTCTCCTGCCTCTGAACAACTGACCTGTGTGGTCTTCCACCTTGGAAGACCTTGCCCTGGTCTCCATCTTGAAAAACCTTTGACCTTGTAGAGTCCTCTGGGAATGCTCCCCTTCCTTCCTTCTTTCCGTGGTCACATCTTTTCATTCATGCTGTACCGCTGCAGGCTCCTGATTCTCTGCCATGAACTTACTCACCCAGCAACCTCCAAAGACTTTGGAAACATCTTAGTCATCACATCCACTGGCCTTCCTGGGAGTTCATCTTTCTGGACCTCTGGGAAGATTTCACACTTTCTCCTCTTGCTCCATCACTCGCTTTTCCCTCTGCCTCTGTGAACTCTGCTTTCTCTCCCTCTCCCCTTCTCCTACTCCATGTCACCCAGCATCCCCATAGGTAGTTGTTAGTTTCACATCCTTTTTCTCAACACAATTCCCTCTTGAGTCTGTCATCTACTCCCCAGTTGGGTGTCTTCATCTACTCCCAGGACCTCAACCATTGCTTCCACTCAAATGACTCCAATCCCCATCTTAAGCCCATGCCTCTTCCAAGAACCCTAGTCTTAGACTTCCAACTGCCTACCGGATATTGCCTATATGACACCCAACCAACACCTCAAAGGTCAGTTACCTAAAGCCAGCTCCCTCACCTTGCCTCTGCCCTGATCGTCTTCCCAGATTTCCTCTGTGATGTGCTCAAGTCATTCTTCCATCTGCCTGGCCAAAACCCCAAGGTTGTCTTTGTCTCAATTTCATCCTCCAATTCTTTGCTGTTTACACCAGTCAGTTAAAAAGTCCCACCGCAACATCCTCAGTGACCTCGCTCACATCTGCTCTCCCCACTGCACGCTGGTGCGCCCAGCATGGGCTCTCACCACAGCCGCAGCCACCACTCTCACTCCAGGACTAGCTGTGATCACTTCTCACATAGGACCTTCAATTCCACAGTGGCTAACCTGGTTCCTCCACCCTAATTGGAAACTAAGCCCCTAACCCCACTCCGCCTGCCCCGCCCATCACCTGTCTGCCTCACCCATGTGTGCAGTGCCTGTTGTGCCTCCTTCAAGTACTGAGAGAGAGCTTGGACCTAAGCCCCAGCCCTGCTGGCCTCCTCATGCTCTGCTGTCTCTGAATTCCCAGTTCCTAACACCCTCAATCAACCTGCAGCTCCTTGGCTCCTGACTCTCTTATCCCAGACCTCTTGGCTGCTGCCAAATCCCCAGTCTCTTCACCCCTTTCCTGGTTTGAGTCTCTGCTGCTCTCATGACTTTTGTGCCCAAGTCACTGGGGCTGGAGATCTGACTCCATAAGCAGTTTCCTCTGTTCCTGTCACAGTTTGTGGACCTTCTT